CTTCGACACCATGCTATGCCATGTAATGCTATGCCATGCTGCGACATCCATGTGTGCGAATAGAGAGGAGATCTACGCCATGGAAAGGGATCGGAGGGAGGGGTAGGACGTCAGATATAACGCGAGCGCACCTAGCTTGTCCCTCTCCCCCCTCCCCCTCCCCTCCCCCTCCTCCGCTTCCTCCTCCTCCTCCTCCTCCTCCTCCTCTTCTATCTCCCCCTCGCCCCCTCCTTCTCCCCGTCCCCCTCTCCTCCTCCTCCTTCTCCTCCTCCTCTCCTCCTCCTCCTCTTCATCCTCCCCCTCCCCTCCTCCTCCTCCTCCTCCTCCTATCCTCCTCCTCCTCCTCCTCTTCCTCCTTCCTCCCCTCCTCGTCTCTTCTTTCTCCTCCTCACCCTCCTCCTCCTCCTCCTCCTCCTCCTCCTCCCCGTCTCCTCCTCCCCTCCTCCTCCTCCTCCTCCTCCTCCTCGTCCTCGCTCCTCGCTCTTCGCTCTCGCTCTTCCTCTTTCTCCTCCTGCTCCTCCTCCTGTCCCCCCCCCTCCCCCCCACCACCATCCTCCTTTTCCTCCCCCTCCTCCTCGTCGTCGTCCTCCTCCTCCTCCTCGTCGTCCTCCTTCTTCTCCTCCTCCTATTCCCTGAGACCTCGGCGCCTCAACTTTAAAAGGCGGGCGTTGTCGCCGGGTTTCGGGTTCTCAGTCCCTCGCAGAAAGATCTGGCGCGAAATGTCGCGCAAGTAGAGGGGGTCCGGGGCTCCGGTCGTGCTTTTCTACGATGTATTTTTTTCTGTTGCTGCGTCGGATCTCAGGGTGTTCGTTTCTTGGCAGCCATTTTGGCGCGAACTATTTTTCGCCGAGCCTCCCCAGCTCGAGCTGTTCCGAATCGCTCGCCCACTTTCGGGCTGCCCCTCGGCCTACCCCGCCGACCAGCCCCAGCGATTGCGATGGCGCACATGTCTCCGCGGGGTGCCTGGGGCAGCTCGGGCATGGGCTACGCTGGCCACGGCGCCGGGTACGGGGGAGGCTATGCCGGGGGAGGCATGGGCCACGCTGGCCACGGTGCCGGCGTGTACGGTGGCGGTGCCGATTGCGGAACTGCCTGCTGCGCCGGGGCCACCGCCGCCATGGGCTGCGGTCCTGGCTGCGGCGCGGGGTGCGCTGAGGCGACGGGCTGCGGAAGCGGCGTGGCGGGCGGCGTGGGCGGCGGCTGCTGTGGCGCGGGCGCAGGCGGCAGCACCATCTTGAGCTACGTGGGCGCCGGGGGCGACTACGCGCAGGAGACGACGTACAGGTACGTCGGGGCGGGCGCGGGCGAGTTCGGGGTGCTCCGCATTCCTGGCCGTGGCCCCAACTGCTGCCTGTTCCTCCTCATCCCGGGGCTGCTGTCCCTGCTGCTGCTCCCGCTGCTCCTGTTCTCGCTCGCCCCGGGGAGCACCACGACCACGACCACGACCACGACCACCACGCCGTTCATTCCGCCGTCCACAGCGCCACCCGACACCACCACCACTACCAAGAAGACGACCACCAGGCCGCCTCCCCCGCCGCCGCCCCCGCCGCCGCCGCCCCCGCCCCCGCCGCCTCCGCCTCCGCCCCCGCCGCCAGCGCCCACGACCACCAGGATCAACTGCGGCGAGGGCGCTCCAGCGTCGTGGAACGAGGCGAAGAAGGTGCAGTGCTGCCTCATGGAGAACAAGGGGTGCCCGACCACGTCGACGTCACCGTGCCCCATCGACTGCAATGCAGGATACAACGACCTCGACCCGCTGCAGTGGGTGCGTGGCTGGTCCGGCGAGAAGAAGTTGTTCTGGAGGCTTGCGCCGTTCCGCTGAGCCCCAGAAGAGGTTCCGCGAGTGCTTTCTTTGTCGTTTATCCGGAGGGTCCCTGTTAGCCCCACTTCTCTAGCCGCATCTGTTTAACTTGCTTCTGGGTGCTCTGGTCCCACCCCGCTTAGTCCCCTCGCGTAGGCGCTTGTGCGAGCATCGTCAGCGTCAGCGTCAGCATTATCTTTGTTGGCACCTGGGGGGTGCGTCTTGGAGCACATTCTGGCTCTGTCGGACCCTTCTCGCCGGAGTCTGGGTTGAGGTCTAATCGGGGGCAGTGTGTATCGGGGCCGCTTGGGCGCTGTCAGTGTCATATTGAAGCTGCTTTTATTTGTTTGTTGTGTGCTGGACCTGCCTGGGGCCCTAATCTAGTCAGTACTGGACCTACGCCGGAGGCACCACTGTGATACCTTGAGGATGTGTCCGGGAGGCTTTCTGTGGCTTGTTGGGGCTTCTTCCGAGCTCCCTCGTGGCCCTTGTGGGGCTCGTTGGAGCTCCGCTGGGCTTTCACGGGCTGGTGCCATCGTGGAGCCATCTCTTGGGGCTCATTGGGTCTGCCGTCGCGGCCATCTTGGGCCATCGTGGGGTGTCTTGGCCGCTTTCTCTTCGGCTCGCTTTTCGGGCCATACCTGGAGCCACCCCGGGCCCCTCCCGGGAGTCTTCCGAGCCCCGTGGGCCATCGTG